TTGGGCCCAATTTGGACATTTTCACTTAGGGGTGTACTCACTTTTGTGGCCAGCGGTTTAGACATTAATGGCTGTGTGCTGAGTTATTTTGAGGGGACAGCAAATTTACACTGTTATACAAGCTGTACACTCACTACTTTACATTGTAGCAAAGTGTCATTTCTTCAGTGTTGTCACATGAAAAGATATAATAAAATATTTACAAAAATGTGAGGGGTGTACTCACTTCTGTGAGATACTGTATGTGTGTGTACTCTGTATATTTATTATGTATATATAAAGACACACACATACAGCATATATTTTGAAAATATTTACATGTACATATTTATATTCATATTAATTATATCATATATATATTTAATATATAAAAGTAACATATTTTTCTTAAATATATACATGCATGTGTGTGTATGCACAGTATATATTATATACATAATAAATATACACAGCACACACACATATATTATGTAAAGAAAAACTTTTATTTTGGATGCGATTAATCGCTTGACAGCACTAATCCAATGTAACACACCCCAATGAAGCTGAGCAAAAGAATACTATTTTGATGGTAACAACACGGCACTTGATACAGGGAAGACCTGTTCAGTTACACATGTAATGGCTATTTTCTAGCAGTGGTTTTAAACATCTAGATCAAAACTGTTTTAAACTAATATTTAAACTGGATGATTAAACTGTGTTCTGAGGACTTCACAAAAGTCAGGTTGGGGCAGGCTGTCACATTTTAATTGAAGTCATACAGTATGTGTATTATATGTTGAATTACACTTTACTAATTACAATTTCTGTTGGCCAAAACAATGTTTTTTCTGTATTTACCTCATTTATAATTGTTCAATTTCATGAAATGATTTTACGGTTGTTTTACTGTTTAGAAATTAGCTAAAAAGCCCATAATACACTGAAAAAAGTATAATGGCAGGTTCCCATTTTGTGACAGCTCACATATATATATACTCCAGAACTGTCTTTTTGCCAACCCTTGAATTCCACATATTCTTCAAAAACTTGTTCTCAATGTCCTTTTCATATTTCTTGGTCATACGATGGTGGAAAAATGTGTATCACTGCCCCAAGAATGCATAAAGCAGGTCAAATTGAAGGAAAGAAAGGGGACAAATAAACATGTTTGATATATTAAAACTTTTGTGTATCACCAATTATTTTCATTTGTACATTAAAGGAATAATTCACCTTAAATAAATAAATGCATAAAAAATTATCTCATCATTTAATCACCCTCAAGTTGTTCCAAACCTGTATGAATTTCTTTCTTCTGCTGAACACAAAAGAAGGTAACCAAACAGTTTGTGGTCCCAATTCATTTCTGTATTTTTCCATACTATGGAAGTTAATGGAAACCCTTTTTTTTTTTTGGAAAAACATTCATTCCAATATGGGTCATTTTTACCACTTCATGCATTCACTTATGAAAAAATAAACCTACCCAAAGAAACCTTCACTGGAATAAAAAAGTGTGACAACTAGCCCATTTACCAAACTGAATAGTTACCATATACATCAAAAACGAATTATTCAAAGAATACCACAGTATTCAATGGTACCATGATACTATGTGATGACAACGACGCATTGAAAGCAATGAAAATGAATTCTGGGGTATAATGAGGCATGCGATTTTTGGTGTGGTATGGAATGGTTTTAGATTTAAAATAGGCCTTAAACATTACACCATTTATTTACTCCAACATTTACTTTTCCCCCCTTATCAAATCTGTCTTTTCTTCTATGTATCCATAATCTTAAGTAGCCCATTATTGGCTGTAGTGGAGTTTTTACAGAATGTACTTCCTCTGTTGTTTTCACTAACCAGTTTCTCTGAACTGAGGAAACATGTCATCTGTAATCAATTAATAATCAACCGTCTTTAAAGTGTTTAATTTGTCAACGGCGCTGTTTAATGGACTTTACCTGGCCTTTGCACAATTCTTTTTTTTTCTGTATTTGCATGTCAAATTAATTATTATCGATACATAAAAGTGCAAAAATAAACTTACATTCTTTTAGCAAAGTTGTCATAATACATCAAAAGTTTGGCACTCTTTTTGTTATTAGCAAGTCTAAGAGATGAAACAAGAGAGTCCAATTCAACAAGAAAAATGGGGAAAGACAAAGGAGATTTAAGCCATTTTTGCTTATGAATGAAGAATTTTGCATTCAATATAAGAAAATTAACAACATATTCAAAAGATAACATCTTTGAGGAGGCCTTTACACAATGGAATTAGTTGACCCGCGAACATGACGTGGCGCTGTGACGTCGGATCCGCCGTCCGCCTCGAGCTTGTGTTTACAGTAAGATTTGGCGGGAGAAGATTAGACGCTCCGCTTTCGGAACATTTTTTGGAACGCGTTCTATTGCGAGCCGCTTGCGTCAATGGCGGCGACTGCGTCTGCAGCTCCCGCGGAGTCTGAGTTGGACCGCAGCGGAGCAGAGGACGAGCCCCGAAGCGCCGAGCCGGAGGAGGACGGAGGGAACGGGCAAGCTGGGCCCATCGCAGCCGCGCAGCAGCACCGTCTCGCCAAGCTACCGCTGTCTCGCATCAAAGCTCTGATGAAAGCCGACCCGGATGTGAGTCTGGCCAGTCAAGAGTCTGTGTTCATCATAGCTAAAGCCACGGTGAGATACACACACAAGCACGTGCTGGATTCATCGCTCTCCCCTCCCTTCTTCTGTCTCGCTGTCTATCCCGTCTTATTTCTGTCATGCCAATTTCTGTTCTGCCTGTCTTTAATTATTTATCTATCTATCTGTCATGTCAATTTCTTCTCTCTCTCTCTAAGTTCTGCCTGTCTCTTTGTATGTCAGATAACTTACATCAATTTATTATTTGTATTTTTAATATTTTCTATAAATATTGATATATTTTCATTATAGTAAGTTTTGTTTATATTTGTTCTACATTTGCCACATTTGCTCTCTTAAAAATTTTTTTTTTTAATTATTTACAAAAAAAAAAAAAAGAATCAAAAGCTGGAAATTAAAGGATTAGTTCACTTGCAGAATATACATTTCCTGATGATTTACTCACCCCCATGTCATCCAAGATGTACATGTCTTTCTTTCTTCAGTCGCATAGAAATTAAGGTTTTTGAGGAAACCATTCCAGGATTTTTCTCTTGTGGGCTTCAATGGCGGCCAATGGGTTGAAGTTTCTGTGCAGCTTCAAAGGGCTCTACACGATCCCATCTGAGGAATAAGGTTCTAATCTAGTGAAATCTAGATAAAAAAAAAAAGTATACTTTTTAACCACAAACTGAAGAAAGAAAAACATGAACATCTTGAATGACATGGGGGGATTATCAGGAAATTTTTACTCTGGAAGTGAACTCTGAAGTGAACAGGCAAAATATTACTCCATGAATTTATAAATACTTTTACATTACTGATGGTTTGTTTTAAGCATGGGCCGATTACCGGTTTCAAGGTATACCGCGATTTGACAATTTCACGGTTTCAAAACCACTAATATTTTTCCGTTATACCGTTCCTGCGGTATGCGCTGTTTTTCATGTCTCCTCAAAGACTGGAAGTGTAGGAATCCGTCACTTTAAAGCAGTGTTTCAGCACAGCCTGCTTTGTTTACAGCGTTAACCAAGGAAACGCTGTATCTGCTGTTCCATGAGCGCCTCCTGCTGTCAGAGAGTGAATCTGCGTCGCATTCAGAGCTCCTGCTGTTTGCTTCGTTCAGGCATGTAGTATAATTTCACAAAGCTAGTCAGAACAGAACATTCTGTTTTTGCTTCAAATTGGGTTATTATTAAATCAAATTATGTATATGAAATTATATAATGAAATGATATAAATGATATGTATATGAATAACTAAAATTAAATAACTGAAATTACAGATTTAGGTTAAATAAAGATTTCTTCTTTTTAGTTAACAAATCAAAGAAAAAATAAACATTCTACTGTTCCTAATATTCTGTATGTTGCTCAAAAACAAAATATATTGTGTTCAGCGGAATTAAAAAAAAAACAAATTTTTACCCAGTAATTTAAAAATAACACATTTTAGAGCTGTTATGACAATACCGTGAAACCGTGATATTTTTGCTTAAGGTTATCATACCGTCAAAATCTCATACCGGCGTTAGTCCATATTTGACCCAAAGTTGGGTTGAAACAACCCAGCATTTTTTAGAGTGTAGTCTTGATGTAAACAATTAATCCGTGCAAGTTAATCCGCTAAAAAAAATTATCGTAATCTTTAATCAAAATCTGAACATTTACTTCCGCTCTGGAATGGCATTCCTTTTCTGATGACGTCAGTTTAACGGCTTGGGCAGAATATCCTTAAACACACCCCTCCAACCGTTAGATTGCTATGAGTGAGAGACCGAGAGGAGGAGCGCAAACATAAAACCATGCCCTCTATTCAATATTCTGTTTCAGCTGGAAATACGTCACTACACTGAAATAAAGTCGGCAGCAACTTCCGGTTTACGCGGACTTTAAAGCAGTGTTTCAGCACAGCCTGCTTTGTTTACAGCGTTAACCAAGGAAACGCTGTATCTGCTGTTCCATGAGCGCCTCCTGCTGTCAGAGAGTGAATCTGCGTCGCATTCAGAGCTCCTGCTGTTTGCTTCGTTCAGGCATGTAGTATAATTTCACAAAGCTAGTCAGAACAGAACATTCTGTTTTTGCTTCAAATTGGGTTATTATTAAATCAAATTATGTATATGAAATTATATAATGAAATGATATAAATGATATGTATATGAATAACTAAAATTAAATAACTGAAATTACAGATTTAGGTTAAATAAAGATTTCTTCTTTTTAGTTAACAAATCAAAGAAAAAATAAACATTCTACTGTTCCTAATATTCTGTATGTTGCTCAAAAACAAAATATATTGTGTTCAGCGGAATTAAAAAAAAAACAAATTTTTACCCAGTAATTTAAAAATAACACATTTTAGAGCTGTTATGACAATACCGTGAAACCGTGATATTTTTGCTTAAGGTTATCATACCGTCAAAATCTCATACCGGCCCATGCCTAGTTTGTTGTTTGTACTTTTTTTTTATTAATGTAATTTTTTGCAATTTCAACAAAACCATTTGTATGTTAGCCAGCTAAATTACATGATCTTGATGACAAACCAGCAGAATTTGCAACCGCAATACAGAATCAATTACAGAAATGTTTTTAGGGCATAAAAATGGATGTACGAGATCAATGAAGGTAAGATTTTCTGTCTTTCTCTCTGTTTGCCTGTCATTTTGGTTTTAGTTCTGTCTGCCACTGTCATATCTGTCTATCTATCTATCTGTAGCTTTGTTTGTCTGAGTTTCTGGTTGTAAAATTGATTTCATTGTAAGACAGTCTCAGGTCACATTTAAACAATATCCCATGAGTAAATGTAATATGACTAAATATAAATAACCAATCACTGACACCAATGACATGCTCATTAACAGCAAACTGTCTGTAATTGCGTCCGCAATTAAAATTCAGATCAAGTTCTCACAGTGCCAGAAAAATTTTGACTGCCCCATGACACAAATATTATGTACATAATATGATAATTTTAATGCTACCCTCTAGGCTTGTCACGTTCATGGATACAGTGCTTGTATGTCTGGATATTCTGAATTCCAGTTCCAACTAGGGCAGATTTATTGATATATAAACTTTGATGGGGCCGTCAGGGCCAAGGACAACATTTATGGATGGCCCCACCTATACACTCGGGTGGGTAAAGACAAATATATCTCAGTTAACAAAATGGTACTAATTATTGTTCTGCCCGCAGGAGCTTTTTGTTGAAATGATCGCCAAGGACGCTCTTGTTTATGCACAACAGGGAAAGAGAAAAACCCTTCAACGTAAAGACTTGGGTAAGTTATACGGTAAATTCTAAAATGGTTTAAATAGAATTTTAACTAAAAACATCAGTGGTATTGATGCTGTAATGATTGGTGCTTTTTCTCTTTTGGCAGACAATGCTATTGAAGCAATAGATGAGTTTGCGTTTTTGGAAGGTAAGGGAGTCATAATTTAATGTTATTTCCTGCTGGAAATGGTCTAAAGGAGTGGGAGAATGTTTTATGGATCATTCTGATTGCCTATATTTCTTTCTTCCCTTCAAACCTCATTTTTCCAAGAACTGTAAGCCTAAAACCAAACAATATTCTGCCATGGAGTCAGATTATATGTGACCACGAAGACCTTTGATTCTAGGAATTCAGAAATGAAGGCAGTTGGTAATAACATGGCTGTTTCAATAAAGATATTCTGCTTTGTTGTCGAGAGTTTGGTTCACTTGGTTTTTATGAAAGGCCAGCAGTAACCTGCTCTGAATCTACTCGCAAAAGTGGTCTGGGTACAGTTCATATAATGATTCACAGTATGAATGCAATCTGTTCTAAATTGCTGGAGGTTCTTGTCTTAAATCAGTAGTTACAATGGTGAACAATTAAAACTAGTAAGCGCAGTGTTACTTGGGCTGATGATGCAAACTTGCCACGGTTTAGAGCCAAAAGTACAATGTGACACATGACCTGTGAAGGTGAATTGAACCAAACTTTGGTAGAATGCAGCAATTCATCCATGTGTAAAAGGTTATTTCTTTTAAATTCTACTGTTTGCTTTCTGTGTCACTCTTGTGTAGGTACCCTGGACTGACTGAAAAGGTGCAAAAATATGAATATGAAGACTTTCAACAAGTTCTGAAATTTCATTTCAGATTTGAGAACTCAAACGAGAAGAAAGATCGCTTGAACAGGTTATTTTTTCATTGTGATGTTGGTAATGCTTGAGCAGTTTGATAAAAGTGTACAGTTGTCAAGGTTGTAAAGTACCAATTGTATTTTTCACTAAAATTCTTATAAAAATGTTGAATTTTTGAATAAAGTGAAGTTCTTTTATCTTTTTCTAAAGAGTGTTGTGTGTTCATTGTGCGAGAGGGCTAAAATGATATGTGTGCATTTGTGCTGCTTTGAGTGTTTCAGACTTTTGATTATTAGCTGTAAATCTGGTCTGCAGATTATTCTGAATTATGAATTACTTTGTCCACTAAAGCCCGAGACACACTGCACGATTTTCAGCTGTCCCAGATGAAAGGTTGGCATCGTGAAGCAATCGTGGTGATTTCTGTGATCGTGGCTCCTAATCGGTGGACATATGTCGTACAGTGAGAGAGGTTCAAATATGGCCCGTTGTCACGGTCTTGCAACCAAAGACAGTCTATGATCATTTTCTGAGAGTGTCAGAAATTCAGCATGATCATCGCACAGTGCTGCTATGACATACGTCTACTGACAAGCCAATAAAATGCGACATGGCGCTAAAACAAAACTGCTTACCTCGAGGTCTTATCCCTTTCTCTTTGGCGGCTTCCACTTTTTTCAGCGAACATAGAAACTACACCTGCTAAAGTGTGATTCATAATGCTTTTTTTGTTTACTACTAGGACTAGCGCATGCTGATGACGTTTTATTCTTCTATAGAAATGTGCGTCGTAGCCTATGAGTCACTAGGTGTCATCTTTGTACAGTCTACATGCATGTCGTACCCAAGTTTATTAGATCCATGTCGCACAGTTTGATATGCAATGATCTTATAGGATTGCTAAAATCATGCAGTGTGTCTCGGGGTTAAGACTGGAAAAGATCTTTTGAACAACATGTGAGGAACCAACAACAGTTTTTGTTTTTACATGCCATTAATCTGGTTGATCGTATTATAATGATTGGAAATGGAAACATTTAAATTATGGCTTCTCTGTAAATAATTGTAAAAAGTCAAATGCATGTAGACTTGTTGAAAATGTACGTCCATCTAAAAAGAAATTATTAACGATTATTTCAGTCAAAATAAACCACAATATATCTGATGGCAATAACCTGACAAACTATGATTAGTTCTTATTTGAAAGGCCTTTCCTTATTGCAAAAACTATTGATTTCATGAACTGAAGAACTACTTTTGTCATTTTGGCACACTTTTGAAACCTAAAATTACAAACAGGACACCCTACGGTCTTGTAGACTGTGGTCAAACCAGTAAGAATAAAAGTCCACGGCCACCATATGTAAACGGTAGTTGTGTAGAATGAAATCTAATTGAAGCTTGTGATTTTAGCAAGTGCTTTGCAGGTTTGTGTTCAATATGCATCAGACAGTCAGTGAAAGGACTATAAGCAGTGCGCCGTCTGAGGCTATTCCAGAATCAGACTGCCAGTCTACCTCAATATCCAGGATGAGATGGGTATCACTGTTTACCTCTAAATATCTAGGACTTTGTCTTCAGGCACGGAGCTTAAAGACAAGATTTTACATGCCAACTTATTCAAAGATTTTTATGAATCACCAGGTCAGGAGGAACGGAGCAGAGTGCGCACAATCATCGCAGCATAGCATGTGTCTTTCCTGAGATTTAACTAAAGCATGTCCCGAGGGGAAAACAGTCTGCCTTGAATGGATAGTTCTGGTGGTCTCGCAGTTACAGAGATGCTGTCGATCCAGCAGAAATAAAAACATTGCCAAAAAATTGAAAACCAATATTTTATGTTAGTTTAGTTGGCTTTCTGTCTTGATCCAGGACATAAAGTTAATTAATTTTAGATGAAGACGAGCAAGTATGTGAGTCATTACATGAGAAATTTAAGACCGTGATGAAGAACTCTAGTATGCATGCTGAGAATTCTTTGCATAGTTGTTTTTGTGTGGATAGTCTTTTTGTAATATGCTACAATGACAAGTTAACAGAAGGATGCTGTAGTGCAAAGGGACTGAACTCATCAGCTGCAAACTTTGAGATCTTTGTTCTATGGAGAGCTAAAAGTTCATTAGTGTTCATCAGTATTGCTACTGCTCACACTAAGGGTTACGAATCTGAATAAACCCCTTAACCTGAAGTATTAAATATTCACATTGCATGTTCTTCTTTGTTTGTTCTACATTAACACCGCAAATCGTAAGGCTTTTGAGAAAAGCGGATTAATTTGTGTGTAATTGGCAATCCATAAAAGCAGACCAGAATGCACTCTTTTGATTAGTGCCAGAACAACTTGGTATTCACATTGAAACCTGCTAAATCATTTAGAACTACTGCATAGCCACGTATATAAATAAGCAAATTCTTAAAGTGCCCCTATTATGGGTAATGAAAGGTTCATATTTTGGTTTTGGGAGTCCCCAACAACAGGCTGGCATGCATGCAAGGTCAAAAAACACTTTTATTGTCTTATAATATGCATTTATTTTTACCTTACTTGCTTAACGACTCCCAAACGATTCGCTCAACGATTCATTTTTCCAAACCCCTCCTTTGCGTGACGCTAATCTGCGGTGATTGGTCCGATTGGTCTCATTTTCATTGCATCTTGCCTGTAATGCCTGATAAAGCAGCGTTTGTGTACAGCGTTACTGGGGAAACCGCTATTTTTACCGCTCCAAAAGCGGCACCTAGTGTCAAAGAATTAATTTGCGTTTTCATTCAGACTAAAGCGAAAAGATCAAAAGTGGGCAGGGAATATGCTAATGTTTCATGTTGACTTCAACATGAAACGGCTTGGGATTCGTTTTAAAAACGACTCGTTTCAATGACTCAAGAGTCGACTCTTTCTTTCATTCACTTAGAGCTGCGTTACACACTGCATGAAAGATGATTTTAAAAAATCCATAATAGAGGCACCTTAATATTTTAGAATTGCATTATTATTGCCGTGATTATTATGTTTCTTCTATGTTTTGCAACAATTATTTTAATCCTAACTAATGCAGTGTGTAGCTTTTCATTTCTTAAACAACCATGCTGGAAGATGTACCCATGTACATATCCATGCACTACAAAGATTCATCAGGCTCAGCCTATGAAAGATTGGTCACCACAGAGTCCTGATGTTAACCCCTTTGAAAGTCTTTGGGATGTGCTGGAGTTTACTTGACACTGCCTGTCCAAAAAAAGTTGCACACTCTAATAATTTGTTGGACTCTCTTTAGCATTGATAACATTTTGCATTTGTTGTGGCATTGTTTTGACAAAGTTATGCAACATCACAACACTTATTTCCATCATAAGTTGCATTAATTTATGGCCGAGATCTTAGTATTTGACAATGGGAGAGTCAAACCACTCTGTAAAGTCACATCCCAAAGACTTTCAATGGGAGAAGCTCAGGCCTCTGTGGTGGGCAATTTGTACATAAAATGATTCCTCGTGCTCACTGAAGCACTATTTTACAATTTGGGTCCAATGAATCTTGACATTGTCATCCTGGAAAATGTACATGGGTACATCTTCCAACATGCTTGTCTAAGAAATGAAAAGCTACACACTGCATCAGATAGGGTTAAAAAAAATCAAAACTTTACATCTTGCAATTCTGACACTTTTTCTCAGAACTGCATAATACAAACTCGCATTTCTGACTTTTTTTCTCATAATTGTGAGATTTAAGCTCGCAATTGCAAGTTATAAAGTCAGAATTGTGAAATGTGAACACGCAATTGAGAGAAAAAAGTCAGAATTGAGAGATAAAAAAGTAGCAATTACCTATTATTTTTTTTTATTCAGTGGTGGAAACGGCTTCCACAAGTTTGATATATTCTGAATTTACAGAATCTGAATATTACGAATCCATAACCTGGGATAATGCAGGTGTTTTCAGTTAACAAACCCATTATCTGACAAGGACTGCTCATCTGGACAAACACTGGAGTTAGGTTTCTGGCTCATGGGCAATGGTTCAAATTTGCCACCTCTCAGTCCTCTATTTTTTTTTCTTCCACTAGGAGTACTCAAGTAAATGAAAAAAAAAAACATGTAAAAGTTGTGTGCATATGTCGACAGCCTGTGAACTTGTTCTTGGTTCACAAAATGATCAGAGGTTTCTTTGAGCGGCAGCTGGCATGTTTTCTTCGGTGTGATACCTTAATTGCCAACGAGAAATGCAGGCAAGACGATTAGCCCATGGATACGAGTGAGGTCATGGACGCCTTATACACCCACCTTGGACACGCAGATGGCATATTTTCAATCTAATGATCCCAGGTATGCCAAAACCATAAAGTCCCAACACAGCTTCTCCACATGACTCAAGAACTCGACATGAGGACGGGCTCTAAATGTCTGCACATGAGTATCCATATTGATTCCTGATGTTTTGTTCGTTCAAATGTTTTCTCACACTCTTCCCTGCAAGTCAGACCTCAGGGCTGTATTTCATCCTGCTCCAACATTTTCGACTGCAATAAATCATAAGTTTGCAAAAAGTTGGGCATTTTAATGTAAGGTGTTTCCTTCCCTTCAGCATTCGACGTCAGACCCATATATCATTGTGGACTGCTGTTTTTAATCTCGTTTCTTCAAATATCGGAAGAATTCGGTTTGTATTTCTTAATTATCGAGAGCTTTGCAGTTGTAAATTCTCAAGCAAACAGGGACTATAGGCTCGAAATTGTAGCGATTATGCTACGCGTCGCACCAGCGCTCGCACAGCTCAACATGTTAATTGAAGAGAGTTGTGCATTTCTCAACAGTGAGGGGAGATGCTACGACTGTGAAAACAGCACACGAGGGGGGGAGCGAGGGAGATTGTGGGTGTGTTAGCGCGTGAGAGAAAAAAATAGGGGAAGGGAGGGAGAGAGGAGAGAAATAAAAACAGCACAAGAGGACAGCAGGCAGCACGGACGAAAAAATCCCTCTGAGGTTCCACCATGTTCCTGCAGACTGTCTCCATCCTCTTCCTCTCGGCCGTCCTCTTCGGCTGCCTGGAAGGTAAGGTGAAACTCTCCCTCGCATCTTATTGCGATGTTGGAACGGGGCGGTTGGGACCAGATCTGG